ACAGCAGCAGCTCATCCTGCCCTGCCCGTCCTTCTCGTTTTTTTTTTTTTTTTTTTGGTCACGCTCCACTTGTCAGTGAGAACGCATATGTGTTCCATTTCCTGCTTTCACTTCCTGTTTCCTGCCTTGTGCTATGTCCGCCATCCATGGGGAGGTGTGTGCCGTGCCACAAGGGGTCATTCTGCTCTCCCGTTTCCATCCAAAATGGCTCATAGTTGGCCCGTCTAGGCAGGATATAGTATGGTGTTGAGATCCCGAGCCAGAGAAATGATGGATGGGAATTTTTATCAGAGCTCCAAGCTAAGCACTTCCTCACTTCCTCTGTCGGCGTTGATGAGCATTGAACATGGTGACCCGGGGGGCCACTGCACGCCGATCACACACAGACACACACACACACACACACACACTCACACACACAAACACAAAAAAAAAAAATCTTCACAGCCACATACTTATGCCTTCCGTTGTTTTGAGCTGAAAATGGTTTGTAGTGTAGTATCACTTCTCATGCAAGCAAATTTTCATTGTGACATACCGTTGCATTAGGACGACGATCAGAGTGACACATGACTGAGAATAAAATTCCGACGGTGTCATATATAGGGATGTCTCAATGAAGTTTTTTTTTCCACTGAAATCTGATTCATTTGATTTTGAGTATCTGCTGCTACGGTCATGATGCAATACCCCGGCAATGCATGCACAAAAAATGAGGGCGCTACTGTACTTAACTATATTTGTCTGAAATGTAATTTGCGTATCTTGCCACTTTTTTGGGAACTCATCTTAATGGAACTCCACCTGTTTGATATAATAATTAGCCCCCTTTTAAAGATGTTTAACAGAGGTCTGATTGCATAAACTCACGGACCAAAATAACTTTTTAAAGATACAATTAAACATGATTGTAAATAACATCTGCTGTTATGTAAGGTTTTCTTTCCATCACATGGAGCAGATTTAAAATAAAACAAATGCAGTGCACTGAATATAACCTCAGTAATTATATACGCTGCAACTTTCTATTCAGTTTTGGAAGTGAGCTTTGAGGTAGATGCCAATTACAACCTTCCTCTTTATTTCAAAGCAGCTGGCAACATGTGTAAAGTGGGAGGAAAGGAACACGAACATTGTTTAACAAGCACCCATTGACCTATTAAACCCCGCATCCGCTCTGGCTGTTTCACGTTTTATGAGGTCCTAAAAAAGACAGTTATGAGTGTCATAGGATTGCCTAATGGGTCCCTGACAATGGTCTTGTTACTTTCAACCCCCTTCCGACATTTGCCACTGTGACAGTTGTTGCTCTTATCTCTTCCTCTTTACATCTGCTCTTCCTTCACGTACATTTTATCAGTCGGCAGAAATAGCGAACTGGTATATGTGACAGATTTTTCATTTTCGAGCTCAAAAAGACAATGTTTTAAGTTAATAATGTTCTACAGATAACTGGTGGAGCTAATACTGTTTTAATTGGGTTAAATAGTCTGGCTCTGACAGCACATTTTTCACATTTACCATCTCCAACAAGTCGGCAGCTCATGAGACAATTAGTGGCCCTTTTCTGTGTCTTGTCTTATATGGTGGAACCAAGAATGAAATGTGTGTTGATTACTGCAGCCATATCAAAGGGGGAATGGGTGGGAATTTGGGACAAACCCCAACCTACCTCCTTATCCAAAAACAAGTAGAACCCATTCAGTGCCAAAAGGGTTTTCACATTTTACTACCAAGAACCTGATTTACCCTCCCCCCCACTGTCCCTTTTTTTAAAATTATTTTTTTAAACTGTTTAAACCAGGCTGCATATCATCTCACATGCAATCAACACTTGTATAATGATGACAATGATATGACTTGTAGGATTTGATTAACCTGACCACACACACACACACATATATATATATATATATATATATATATTTTTTGACGGGGATGTTGTAGGTCTGCACATTATTAAAAAATGCAATATGGCATCACAACAGCTATATTATTACAATATTTATCATATTCCCAAACATTTCTTGCAAAATGCGAACAAGCAAATCAGTGATTCATAGCTCTCAACTGGCTTTTCTGATTGACCTTTGGGCACTGGATGTGTTCTAGTTTCTTTGTTTCATTCTTGTTCAATCATTTCAGTTGACGGTAGTGGGCGTCCACTTCTTTTTTGGGGGTACAAACACCTTCTTATATATTGCATGCCATTTCTGTGTGGTGCGTCTCTCTGGTGGCTGCTTTTAAAATTCTATACGAAATCTTTGTCGAGTGCATTTCTGTGACTCGTTCATATCAACTGCTTCAGACACAAAACACCTGATCTTTTCCAAACCTTATTCTGTACGCAAAAAGTGAAAACATTGATTGTGGCATGCCAAAAGGCTGACAGCAGAAAACTTAGTTCACCTTTTAACGAAACCGGTTTTGTCTTGATACCTTTGCCAGATATGAGTTTTTGTAAAGTCATATAGAATTATGAAACACCCTGCATTATTTGTGCTCCCTTGCAGGTTTCTTCCCTGGTAGTTCCCAAGGGTGCGATGCTTTCCTTCGTCACAAGATGACTTTGATATCTCCGTCCATCCTGAAGAAATACGGCATTCCCTTTGACAGGGTGAGCAGCAACTTTCAAAATTGGAAACGGACATTCGTCATATTTATCACATTCTTTGTTGATGTCCTCAAATTAAAGCTCAGATTCTGTACTTATCTATATATATTTTTTTGTCAAATTATTGTGGACTTCTTCTAAATACATGTTTGTGTAAACAGGTAACTCAGAATGAAGGAGAATTTATGATAACTTTTCCTTATGGCTACCACGCTGGCTTCAACCATGGCTTCAACTGTGCTGAATCCACAAACTTTGCCACTCTGCGTTGGGTTGACTATGGCAAAACGGCTACTCAGGTAAGGATGTACAGATTAAATTTTTGTATTTAGGTCTGCACGCCTGTGACCCTTGTGAGGATAAGTGGTTTGGAGAATGGACGGAAATACCACCTGTGAATATACACGCACACACACACACACACACACACACACACACACACACACACACACACACACGTTTACTGCGCGCGCACGCGTGTGTGTGTGTGTGTGTGTGTGTGTGTGTGTGCGCACGCGCGCGTGTGTGTGTGTGTGCGCGCGCGCGCATGTGCGTGTGTGTGCATGTGTGTGTCACTGGAAATTACAATAGAACAAAATCTATTACTATACAGTATTTGTTCAATAAAGTTTTCACAGTTTAGCAGTACTATGACACCCAGATCTTCATCAAACTCGTGACTTTTCTTCACTCCCATTATTGGAAAGGTGGAAATGGAAATTAGTAATAATCAGAATTGCACTGTGGAGGCTCGTAAACCATGTTACAGGCCAAAGGCTGCCTTTGCCACATAAAACTCAGTATATTGCAAATCTGACTTGAAGCTATTTTAATTTGCAATTTGCATAATTTTGCAGTTTCCCAGAGATCACCTCATTTGAACCATATGGTCTTGAGGGAACCCTGCTCTTGCTGAGTCTTGTGCCTTTTTCACTCGAAAAGTTGAAAGGTTATTTTCTCCTTCAGCTTGCGGTATATATTTCATCGTCTTCGGTGTTGGTCAGATGGGTGTGGCGAGCTGACAGGTCGTGACATTGATTTTAATATAGATTTATCATTTAATTTGTCGCAAGTGGGAAACTAAATAATTTGGGTAAAATAATTTAAAATCCAGGCTCAGTCCAGACTGATATACAGTAGACCAAACTCACACTCAAGTAGACCATGTCTGAAATGGAGGCAAATTGTATGGGATGCTCCAGTTTTTCTGTAGCCAGTGGTAGATACCAATTTCAGAATATTGTCAGACTCTTTTTGTAATAGTCTTATTTGAAGTTTCAACTAAATGAGGGAAACAACGTTCATTTGTCTCTTTCTGCCTCCCTCACTTAGTGTTCATCATTATCCACAAGACAACGTATATTAATTAATGTTTGTGCCAGTCAAGTGGCGCCGAAATGCAATGTAGGTTGGATATTGTTTCCCTGGTCCGAGCATCCCATTCTGTTGTTTGATAATGTAACACAAGGTTTTCTGCATGGCTCAGGAAATGATACAACTTGAATGTAATACAGCTAGCCGGGGAACAAAATATTTTCATCCACATCTAGTCTGCCATCTTGTTTTAATCCGGCCCATTTCTCTCCCAATCATATTTCTCATTTGGTGTTTTTCTCAGATCTTAGAATTCCCCCTTTTCATATTACACACTCAGAGTGAAGCACTCCTGTCTCGTGCTTCTCTTGAACAGCAGATACTTGGATGTGTTGTCCTCGATACTCTGAACTGTGCCCCGGGCGCTTAAAGTAGCCCGCTGCTCCTGTGTGTTCCACTCACAGTATGTGTTTGCTGTGTTCAGCACTCTGATGGGTTAAATGCAGAGGTCAAATAAGGATGAAAAGTCGTCGTCTTCTTGAAGGCGTCAAGTGCATGTCGCAAAATCAACGTTGATGATTGACAGTCATTTTTGTTCAAATTTAGAAGACTTTTTTTTTTTTTTTTTTAAACTTTACAGCGACTCAGACACGTTGAGTGCAAACGGCGTGCTCTGACATAACCCCACGGGGACTTGTTTCTGAAATGGTTGATTAGTTTTTTTTTCCCCCCTCTAGTGCACCTGCCGTAAGGATATGGTCAAGATCTCCATGGATGTTTTTGTGCGCTGCCTCCAACCGAATCGTTATGACTTGTGGAAGCAGGGAAAAGACATCATAGCGTTGGACCACAGTCGGATCACAGAGCTTAGCAGCCCAGAATTGGAGCGCTGGAGACAGCATCGTGTCACATATAGAGCAAACCTCCTACGCAGGTGAGACACATATTTCCATTTTGAAAGGGTGTTGTTGCATAGACAAGTCAAGTTGTCTGCATATGTGGTTTGACTTTCTCCTCACATTCCCAGGGCCATGCAGAAAATGAAACAGTTCCGCCGTCTTAAGCTGGAGGAGGTGAAGGTGTTGGCAGAAGAGGGCATTGAGTTAAATGCTGCTGAATACCAGCGTCAAGTAGAAGAGCGGGAAGCCCAGCGGAAGCAGGAGAGAGAGGAGCGTCTTGCCAGAGAGGCCATGATGACCCTCGAAGCCATGGAGCGAAGGGACCTGGAGGCCGCAGAAGCTGCCTCAAAAGCAAGTGAAAACTCCACTCAAGAGGGTAAGGAGTTGGAGAGCTATTCGGAGATTTAATTTTTTCTTCTTTGCAAAGATTTAAATAAGATGTTTTTTTTTTCCTCCGATTTAATCTTGGCCAGATCTAGAGGCCCAACAGCAGAGCATGACTGACAATATGACAGACGATGTTGAAATAAAGCCGAAAAATGCCGCCATCACTGGATTTCAAGAAGCATTTGAACAGTTTGCTGCGTCACGGTCTGTCAACGTAGATGACACAGAGGAAATAAGTTGCGACCAGGTACTTTACAACTTGAATATATATATTTCCTTCAATTTATCATATAGTTTTTTATACACAAGCACATTTTTAAATGTGATATCTTATGGTTTGTCACATATGAAACAGAAAACAGTTTGTCCGGCAAGCTACTCCAGCATGAAGGTGACAACCGAGGTTAAGAAGAGCCGACGCCACCCCCTCACCAAACCACCCATGCGATCTCCGTTGTCAGTTGTCAAGCAAGAGCCGACTGGTTCCAAAGGTATCATCATGCCATTCATTTAATTGTTGTTTATTTTACTGTTACTCCTCTCGGGTGTCAAAAAGCAGCTTTGCCCGATTACTGATTACCGATTACATCAATCCATTTACTTAGTTTTTCCATCTTTGAATTTTCCCTCCGGCCATTGCTCATCCATTTCAATACAGCATTTAAAATTAACCGGATGATTTTCTCCCATGATTGATGTAGAGCGAGGAAACAAGCAAAAAGGAGCTGCATCCTTTTAGTGATGAGAAATTCAAGACCAGTGCTAAGCAAAGTTTGGCCCGTGGGCCACATCCGGCCCACCCACAGTTTCTGACTTAGAAGTCAAAGTAGTGCTTTTATTTTATGTGCATGTGTGGACGCTAGAATAACCGAGGTAGCTAGCAAGAGCTACAACTTGTGTCCGCAGCATTGGCAACTTAGTGACGTTTTCACTATATTTACAGACTTTTCCGACCCATCTCGTTAGCCCCCCCCCATTTTTTTTTTTAAATGGCAACGGTTAATGTTAGCAATATTATTTTCTGCATGGTGGAAGCCTTTTCCGCCCCCCCCCGTTCCCCCCCCCCCCATTTTTTTTTAAATGGCAACGGTTAATGTTAGCAATATTATTTTCTGCATGGTGGATGGAACACATCCAATTCAGTATGCAAATCTATAGTTTCATCTACTATACGTACTGGATTTCAAGTCATCACTGCGTCATTATAAATCACATCTTCCGCTATCGATATATTTGGAATTCCTGATGAGGAAATACTAATATGATTTGGCAGTTGCTGCAAAAAATTAATGTTAAAAATTTCAAAATCAAAGATGTAATTTTGTTGACTGATTATTATTTTGTGTCAATAGTGTATGTCCCAATTATAATAAGACACACAGACAGTATGCATTTTCGAAATACATAGAAATAATACAAAGTTGAGGTTGGCATGTTTGCTTTGCCCTCGACAAATGTTCCCGTTTCTCATGTGGCCTTTTTGCAAAATGAATTGACCACCCTTGTTCAGTGCACTAAGGCCTTGCCTTATCATTTTCTTGTTTTGGTGTCCAGAAGGGTGGATGGATGGCAAGGAAAAAGAGAAAATGACGGGTGTAAGAAAAGTGTTATTAAATGGAAACCTGAGAGATCTTCTTGTGTCCTGTTCAGAGCTGACAAATTGTCTGGATCAGTAGCTTCAGGGGATTCACCGAAAAATTGATCCTCAACCTATGGGGAGCATGTTGGTGAAGCCACTATTTGTGTCCATCAGCCAATTATATTTCAAGTGCTGTCCCATACTCCCAAACAGAATGCTTTTCTTTGTGAATGCTTGCTGTGAATGCTTGCTGTTCAACCCATTTTCGGGCATTTGAAAAATGCTTATAAACTTTCCATCAATGAAAATGCAATTATTTCTTTTATTGTTGACTGACTGACAGATTTCAAATTCTAAACTTTGTCACATTCATTTATCATCAGAACTTTCCTCACCCGTGCCACAGAAAAGCAGCACGGAGGAAGAAGATGACCTCTGGCAGAATCGCTTCCGCAACTTCTTGGCTGAGAAAGCTTTCAATTCTGCTGTGTCAGTACTCCAGCCACACTGTGCGGTCTGCTCCCTCTTCTGTCCATATAAAAAGGTACCAATACACACACCGTAGAATTCTACATATTAAGATGCCAAACTCTCGTACTAGCTTTTACTGTGGTTACGGAAGTTACTGGAGCATAGAAAATTGTGATTTTTATCTAGCCTAGGTATGTAGGTACGAGTGATCGAAGAACTAAACTAGTCATTTTTTTGATTGACCGACTAAAAAGAATACTGAAGTAACATACAGAAATTAAAATACTGATACTTGAAATTGCAGCCATGGGTCTACAAATTGCCTATCTCTATTGCTTCTACAATTCTTTTTCACGCTTTGGGAGGATAATGCTCCAGGACTGTCTGGTGCATTACACTTGCTCTTTGTGCTCCTATCAATCACTCCAAAGTCAAGAAGACTGCACGGTGTTGCCATGGCAATAGCGTTTTAGTGGGAAATGAGACCTGGAAATAGGAAGAGGAGGTGGTCACATTTTTTTTCCACCTTAAGTAGCAACTTGACAAGTGGTCGGCATCTTTGTGGAATTTTCTAAAAAAAAAAACACGGAAGGAGCACTTCAAATGCCCCTCGAACCATAACAAGTCAATGTAGGAAAACTCTCAGCCTTCTCACGAAATTCTCCAGAAATTGCATTCTCCGGTTTGAGCAAAAATGATTCATTATTAGACTACGAAATGACCCTTGTATTTTTACAAATATTAGTCTTTCAGTGAAGCCAGAGGTTGAGGAATTGTGATATTTGAGCAAGTAATAGCATCATTGTGATAAATCGAGTTTACATTATCTTACCGTCTGTTTTAGCCAAACCATGAGCCCAGCAATGTCAACGGCTCCCAGCGCACCCAAATCCCATGCCATGGAAGTCGAACTCGTCCAATCGTCCCCGAGATGTGCTTTAGTGTTGGGACAGGCAGCGCTGAGCCTCCCCCCACTAGCAACTACATTGGGGAGGATGGAACCAGCGTCTTGATATGTTGCTCCTCATGCAACGTGCAGGTTCATGCCAGTAAGTATTAACGCATTCCACACAACCCGAAGGACCACCCGTGATTTATCCTCATCCGTACAAAGTGATTTAGATTTAGTTCCTAGTAGATTTAGTTATAGTTCTTACCATCTCTGTCATGTAGCTGGTTATTTCTTACGTTTGTAAGAGATTTTGGCAGACACGTGATGTCAGCTTGAGTTGTACCTTGCTACACAGCAAAAAAGCACGTATGACCAAACACACCCGGGCTCAGTCAGTATCACAAATACACAACAATGCTCAGCTTTTATCATCTCTGAAGGTGCAGGAAGGCTTTTCAAAAAGGCAAGTTCATTACATTAGCCCTCGGGGGCCGAGCTGGACTTAGCTGGAGGGAGGCAGCCCTTCTATTGTTATGAGAACAAGAAATCAGAATAACTGTTGAAAGCATTACTTTTGTTCTTAGTTGTTGTCTGAAGTGAGCATTCAGCAAGATCACATTACTTTTCTCTCTTACAGGTTGTTTTGGCGTTAACCCGGACATAGTCCAAGATAAGTGGACATGTTCTAGATGTGCGGCAGGCGCCTGGGCAGTGGTATGTGCCACAATGCTACTTAATTCCTGAAACAAATTTCCACAAACCCGTGTAACTCTGTCTTGATGAAGCCGATGTATGAAACTTTCAATGATCTGGATTAATCCATATTTCTGTCCTGTCGTTGTATTATAATTTTCAGGAGTGTTGCCTCTGCAACTTGCGGGGAGGAGCTTTAAAGGTTACCGTAGATAACAGGTACGTTGTGGTCAGCCACCTTGCCAAAACACATATCTAAAAAAAACACGACTTTCCCACTCAAAACACTTAACAAATGAACGCCTAAGGTCAAAGAAATGAATCCATTCTGGGACAGTAATAAAAGTCCAATTATGTTTGCATTTTATAAGAAATCATGGAAATGGGAATAATCAGTTTCAAGGTCAAACTGGCTCACCTTTCAAAATGTAAACATATTCGTCAGCCATTTCGGCTTTTAGATTTAAATGGGTAATGTAATGCAAGCAATATAAAATTACTGGCACATCTTAGCATCAGTTACTGGAGAGCCTCGCTATTGTATGACCAGAGGTAGTTGTTAAAGCTTTATTGGTGTGTCTCCTCTTGAAACAGGTGGGTCCACATCATCTGTGCCATTGCTGTGGCCGAAGCTCGTTTCATCAATGCCATTGAGAGGGAGCCAGTAGACGTCAGTGCTGTTCCAGAAACACGGAAAAATCTGGTAAGTTAATGCACAAACATTAAACGTTATTGAGCAAGATGATATCAAACAGGCAGGGAAGAGTAGACTTTCCCTATATACTGTAAACACGTTCCCCACATTTAATGCTCAACGCAGCTGTCTGAGTTCCTTTTTTTCGCTGTTCTGGGCTCTCCTTTCTTACTCAGATTCACGTTCGTGCACTATTGTATACCATGGCATTATATTGAAAACAATTCGGTATGACCCGACGCCTGACCTGGCTACATGCTGCCATTTCGTTTTTCTGCGTTGCTTTCTGGTTAAATGTGGATAGAGGTACAACTAAAGTTGTATATCTGTTCAGCTGAAGCGAGGCAGGTAAAGAGCATTGAAGGCGCTGAAGGATTTCTCGAGATTGGAAAATGTTTTTGCCTGGAATAAGGACTCATTACAGGTAGACACGAATTGCTGCTAAAGCCAGAATTGTGGCAGACCTGGGGTGGGTTTCACACTCATAAATTTGGGAGGAAATGAAGCAATTTGTAGAATGGATGCTCTCCAAGGGGTGTTTGCTAACTTGTCCAAGAGCTGTGATGGGGCAAGCAATGAAAGTCTGAAAGGATGTCAAGATGGGAAAACTTCCTTCCCCCTACTTTGAATTCACATGGTGGCAGTTAGAGATTCTCCCAAAACGTTGAATAGATATTGTTCCTCTTATCTTTGTCTTTTGTCCTGATCACAGGTATGTGTGTTCTGCCATGGCAAGACTGACAGTAAGAACCGTGGTGCATGCATCCAGTGTTCAGAGGAGAACTGTGCAACATCTTTCCACGTTACATGCGCCCAAATTGCTGGAGTTGTCATGACACCAGCCGACTGGCCCTACATTGTGTCTGTCACCTGTCACAGGCATAAAAAAATGACTCTGAAGGTAAGCGTAATCAACAGCAGCAATTTACCATTTCATTCAGTGTAAATTGTGACCTTTGTGGAGCGAGCGGGAATTTACAGTGGGTACAACAAAATCGACACCTGCCTCTTGTTCAAATAGCAGGTTTTTGTGGTGTAAAAATTTGACCAAGATGAATCATTTCTAAACAGTTTCCATAATTAATGTGACATAACCCATACAACTCAGTTGACAAAAAGATGCACAATTATACAATTGAAATAACGTGGTTGTGTAAGTGTGTAAACTACATACCCTCTTGTAACTGTGTCTGTGTTCAAAATTAACCAGTCATATTCAAACTCACGTTAAATGGGAGCCAGCACACACGTGCCACCATTTAAAATGCCTCTGATGAACCCCGAATAAAGTTCAGATGTTCAAGGAAGCTTTTCCTGACAATATCGTAATCACAATCTTGTCCTTTTTTGGGATGATGGTGCACAATGCATGTACTGTAGACTATAGACACATACTGGGGGCGTGCCTTTAGCGTCCTCTTTCGAACCCACCCTTCCCACTTTAATGTCAGCATACTGTCCTCAGCCATTACTCCATAAGTGCAGCGTATCAGTCAAGTCAAGCGGACGGACCCCTCATCGAAGTCACACAACAGCATTCACGGATTTTGGAATTCGGTGCATACACAATTATTAGGCGCCACGTCCATTTTGGAGAAAATTTAAGACTTTCAAGTGCACCTTTTGGTCGTGAAAATACAGTACACCAAAAATTTCGACCGAATCACATTCCCAGAGCTGCCATCAATGCTTCCTTAACAATTTATCTGAATGTTCATATTTTATAAGTCTTGTCAAGAACATTACAGCGGCAGCGCACACGAGAGAGTGTTTCATATATATATATATATATATATATGGTATATTTGTATCTATTGAGTGTTCGCCCACTAAAAGGGAATGTTAGACCGAAAAGGGATTAGTCTTGCCCTGCTGAATGAGACCAAACTACTGAGAGTCCCCCTTGAGAAGGAGGAGTTCATCCGTCTGCATTCAGATTGCAAATGATTGGTATGCCACCATATCCCCATCGTTCACAACGTGAGACGTACGGACAAACTCGGGAGAAGCTATTATTCAAATTAGCCTAATTCTGACATCACAATTCAGAATAGCTCGCTCAGAGAGACATTTTCAGAAATGGCAGAAAAAGGTTGACCTGGTTCTTCTCATTTCATACATGATGGGTGGCCATACACTCTAGAGCAGTGTTTTTCAAACTTTTTTGAGCCAAGGCACACTTCTTTCATTGGAAAAACTCGCGGCACACCACTCGCTGAAAATGTGAGAAAAAAAAAAAACGCTTATTTGAATAATTAATGTGTTATATTGTTACTATAACCGTTTTTAGCATTGAAGAATGACGTAACAGCTTGAATTGGAATCAAATTAACACAAAGAAAAAAGTGTTTTCTCATCTTTCATATTTATTGTTTCACCGTCGTCCTGCATTCATGCGTCACAAATTCGCTTGTCTCTCGTCTAAACACAAGGCAATTGGCTAGCTGTTGCTGCTCCCTAGCGGTATGGGAAGGTACTACACGATTACTTTCTGGGCGATAGACTGCACAGGCATACACATTGGATATTTTCCCGCGGCACACCTGACAATGTCTTGCGGCACACTGGTGTGCCGCGGCACAGGGGTTGAAAAACACTGCTCTAGAGACCAAACGATATGTACCCATACAATTAAAAAATAAATGTTATGTTCCGTGTCCCTGTTATAATCTTGTACAGTACTATAAAGTGATAAAATAATGTAGGTCATTCAGAAATGCAGACAGTCAAGAATAACACACATAATAAAAGTTTAGTTAAATACCACAGCAAAACTACTGTATAATCAAATCATTGAAGAAATACCTTGGAGACAATGAATGAAATAATGGTGTGAGTGTATTTTTAATTTATTGTATGGTTTTGTTTTGTTTTCCAGCCACGAACACCAGCCAAAACGCCCCTGCGTCCGACCCTGGGTCAAAGGGTAATTGGTCGCAACACTGATAGCTGGTATTACCATTGTACCATCATCGGCATGGCAACGCAAACCTTCTACGAGGTCAACTTTGACGACGGCTCATATTGCGACAACATATACCCGGAAAATATAACAGTGAGTGCGTTACAGACCATAGATCGTAGGGACAAGCTGAAGTTTCCTAAAAGAATAAACATGTTGTTGTAACTGTTTGCCAAAAAATGTAAAAATAAAATAAAATGCCATACATTGGACCTAAAAAGCAGAACATTGCACTGCATCGAACTTGTACTGATTTCAGTGCAAGTGGATCCTCTGGAAGATGACCCCTAATCTATCTACTTTCTTCCTCAGAGTCATGACTGCCTGCGTAGCGGTCCTCCTGATGTGGGGGAGTTGATTGTGGTCAGCACGACTGACGGTCAACACCTCAATGCTTCCTTTGTCAAACAACACACCCACAAGCTCTACCAGGTGAATATAAATGAGCATGCTATCTTGGCTATGATGAATTTGTCATTGAAAATGTAAAGGTGCCAGCAACATTTAGTGGAAGGCCGAACAATAAAATAGTCTTTCATTAGAAAGCACAAGATACAATCCACCTGTTACTATTCATACAAATAACCAGGCCCAGATGTGTGGCGTAAGATTTTTCTTACTTTAAATTGTAATGACATAATAGTATGTACCGGTATATTCTGTTTTATTGTTGAGCATTGAAGTATTAGTGGTAAGCACTTGGCCTCACAGTTCTGAGATTCATAGTTCAAATCCCAACGTACTGCATGCAAGGGTTCCTCCGGATAGTCCAGCTTCCTCCCATGTCCCTAAACTATACTTACTATAAACATACTTCTTATAGGCCTCCTCTAGAAGAGGCTCTAGCTCACCTGTGACCCAAATTCGGGCACGTTTTGAAGCACATCTGAGCCTGCAGACGCTACATCCCATGCAGAACAATCATTGACAGCGTGAACATACCCACCCTGTCTACAACTTTGCCAAGATCAATAGTGCACAAAAAAAAAACTCAAACCCTCTGCTTGAGCCATAGTGGACTGAGCATCCAGGACATTGATCAATATTTATATACTGTATTTAACATGTTGGTCAGTTTCCTAATTGTATGATGGCAGGCATTTGAATGTTTAATTTCCACTGTATTGCTTTTAATGTTGCTGACTGAACAGACACATTTCACTGTGATGTCTGGGATGATGTATTTTGAGATAAAATGAGGAAATGCATTTTTACACTTCTTTGGCTTCGCTGATCAACCTTCTTTTTTAAGACAGCTCACATTATGTAATGATTATTTGGTGCCTACTTCTTGATAGAACTTTTGTACCATGTCCCTGAAGTGATTTTTCAGATGTCATCAAATGAAGTCCCTTTAACTGTGATCTGCAGGTTGAGTTCCAGGACAAAAGTCAGCTCTTGCTGAAGCATTCAGAGATCCATCTGCTGGACCAGGAACTGCCCAAGAGGGTCCGGACTCGCCTTGTGAGTATTCTCTGGGGGCAGTTGTTGTCTTTGAACTAAAGAGGACTGAATCTGGAAAATGTACTTTTGTTAGAATACAAATAGTTAGGTCCGTGCCCAATGCTCACCCATCAACTGTGAAAGGGGGAGATATGATTACGTCAGCCAGTGGTGGCTTAAAACGAGTGATTTGAACCAGTGGCTATCAAGTGTGCTGTACTTTTTTACCCTTACTGTATTTTGAGGGCAAAATGTCAGAGAGCTTTTATGATGTCACCTGGAATCTGTGAAAAAAAAATGCCCAATATGTCTCCATTATTCAGCAAATTGTAGGAACCTTTGAAAATATTTGAGTTATTCCTACTTTATTAGTTATTCCGACTTCCTTCCACAATCCTACGGTTTGTAGTTTACAGTCCTGTGACTGACAGTTTCACTCATGATAGGGTGTACCTGCATCTCTCAAAAAATAACATTATCTTAGATGAAAGCTCTCTCGCAGGGCTGGGCAAAATTTACTGCTCAAGGACCACATTTGATAGGCCGGGTCATGTAAAGAGGGGAAAAAAAGGTACAGTATGTAAAAGTTGATTTACTTAAATGAAACAATTGTTTTTTAATTTTACTATTATTTCTAATTATGTGACTAATTCAGTGTTTGATTAAAGAAGGAGTATGACAATATGTGGCCATAATTTGCTCGCCATACTTTGCCCCACTCTAATTTCATCATGAGCGTAAACGTATACAAAAGGGATAGGTGATGCAAGAAGAGATGCCACGTGTCATAAATCTTGCCTGGGTGTGTGTTTTAGGCCATACCTACATCCCAGGAGGAGACTCCCTTAGCCGACGGAGCCGGAGCGGCCAAGCGTCGTTGCCTGCCCACCACCTCGACCCCGCGCACCAATGCCCTGCCCTCCGCATGTACCCCACGCACCAATGCCCCCATGGCAACGATATCCTCACCCCAGCCGACCACCCCTGTAGCAGCACCGGCGTCAATGCAGTTTAGCAGCACGAGTAAACTTCCGGCCTCACAATTTCTCTCCTCCATGAGTGCGAGATCATCTGCGGTACCCGTGTCCCCCAGTGCTACTCCGATGCTCCCGGAAACTCCAATGGACACAGGCGGTGCCCTGTCTCATGTTTTGACAGACTTGAACTTGGCCTCGGACCCAACCCTAATGCCCCAGTCCGCCCCTTTCCAGTGCCAGCTGAACTCCGATCCCCTTTTGTCAGCGCAATCCCCTGCGCCACCCTCACATAACATTTCAGACAGCTACATGCCGAGCAGCGGCTACGTCTCCTACATGGAGACCCTCCTGCATTCACATTTCCCTGAGGACGAGGGGCCGGCGACTTTGTTTTAGACAACAGCTCCACTGCGCCATAACTCGGCACCAAATGGGATGGATGCTAAAAGAGGGAAAGTGTGGAGAGTGCTGCAATTGCAATTGAACACAAATATGTTGCACCAGCTCTCAAAGACATGAAAGCACTCTTTTAATGCACGGAACTTTTTTTGACATGATCTAATTGCAGTGGCGCTTACGCAGCAGCTACATAGGACGGGAATTTTTTTTTGTCTCATTTTGTTTCTGCTATTATTATTATTATTATTATTATTATTGTTCTTGTTGTGGTGGTGGCGTTTTTTTTTTTTTTTTTTTTGTATTATTATTTTGGACTCTGTGCTTTTGCGTTGTCTCTGGGTGGGATCAACTCAGTACCTCGTTGCAAGGTTCACTATTGGAAGGCTCACATTATTGGTGTTAGGAAGCCAGTACTGATAGTTTCAAGTATGTCCTGTACAAAACAGTTTCTTTTCTACACGTCAAAGTAACCAGCAACAAATGGATCTATTTTTCCTTCGAGCCAAGTGCAGCTTTAACAGCTGCACACATACAATGTTCTTCAACAGGAATTTTCACTCAAGTGTTTTTTTTTCGTGCAAGAGGTAAATGCAGCAATGGGTTTAAAATGTATTATTGGTAAAGTCAGTATTTAAATGTCTTAGATATTGAATGAAATATAATAGGAAAACATTCAGTATCAGTCCACAGAATACGTTGTGAACATGTGACACGGTAGTTAACAAAAAAGGCCTTGTATGTATTACCATTGTTCAATGGTCTTTGAGTGACTCCCAGTTTTCACTTGCAAAACATGTCTCAGGGTTCCTACACTCACAAAATAAATATAGTTGAGGGCTTTGTACTGCTAAAAAAAAAAATGAATTAAGTTGAAAATTCTATAGTGATGTGGAGTGATCTACTCACTAAAATTTCATTTGAAAAATTCATTAAAATGATCCACTTTTAGTAAATTTGTTGTATAAACATAGGAACCCGAGGGTATGATGCAATGTATAAACTCTATGTTGTATGATTATAGTGTGTGTCTTTTCTAGTTCATCTTTTGGATCGACGTTGAAAGCTTGGCCATTTTCAAACATTTTTATAGGATTTCCTGGGCAGATCACTGAAGTGGCACCGACATGTTTGTTTTCTCCAGCCGTTTTTGCTGCAGAGATCTTAAAACTACTGATAGACTTTTTTTCACTTTCATCTTGTACATAGCAAAGGTCTTGCATATTGTGATTGAAATCTGTAAACGTCAAACATGAACACCCCCCACCCATCCATCATAACCGAGAAAATGTTTGGCTTTGTCTTCAAAGTAATTCAAACCAAGAAAGAAACCTTATTTCTTAGGGATTAAAGTGGCTTGCTCGTCACCAGATCGTCTCTGTCTGTCTATGCAGTGGAACCTTGGCTGTCAAAATGGTTGTGTCCTTATGCTGCATTTGAGGATGTTGGGAAATTTGAATAATCCAACTTGGATTTGTCCTGATTGCATGAAGTTATTTTGAATAACCAAATTCAGCTAATGATATGCAAGTAAAACTAAATATATGATTGTAATCTTGTAAATTCTATTTTGCCATTCATGGTCTGTCTTCGTGGGGTTGTCAAGTAACGTCTCTCCGAAGTCGGTAGTTTCGTTGAACTCGGGGGCTGGAAGTGGTGTTTTTTTATTTTTATTTTGCAATTCTTACCATCCCCTTACGTGTTTAACACAGTATGTAATAATGTTATTAAGACCAGTACTTTCCCTCAGGGATGGTAGGTGTTGTCAGTCAGTGACGGTGCAAATTCTAATATTACCGGTACTGTTTATCCCTCGCCACACTCCCTTTAATTTAGAGTATTCTATTAACCTGCCACGCATGTTTTTAGAGTGTGGGCGGAGACCGGAGTACCCGGAGAAAACCCACGCAGGCACTTGGAGAACATCCAAACTCCACACAGGAAGGCCACAGCCAGAATCAAACCCTGCACTTTTGCACAGTGAGGCGGACGTGTTAACCAGTCAAACCACGGTGCCGCCCGAATGTAAAACAATAAGGAGTTAAAAAAAAAATCAAAATCTTAATATTATTCAGGTAGTTTGTTCCTTTGTCCTTCAAAAAAAATATTCGGACTACTCGCATTGTGGAATAGGGCAGAAAAACACCTGGTGAAGTGCAATTAAGCGATGTCTCCTCTCTAGTTTTGTGTGGTGTTATGAACTTAAAAATACAGTCGACCGACCCACCCACACACACCCACACAAAGACACTGCAAACTGGGGGGTGGGGGGGGCTCACAAATAGCAAAAATCCATGTGTAATTGACTGTCATTGAAGTGTGTAAACCCCCAAAATAATTCTAAAAACAATAATAAACCTCTAATATGTATTTTCCACCCAAAAAACAAGGGTTGCCCCAAAAAGTATGTGGGCCACGGTCATTGGACCGCCCGTTGCCCTTTTCGTGAAGCCTAATGATAAACTATTGTGCCACGTTTGCTGGTTCTAAAACTGCCAGACAACCTTACGATGAAGTACTTTTTGTACTACACTACTATATAAAACGTTAAAACATATCAATGAACAAAAATCACATCATTCACTTCACCAGACCAAAAAAAAAAAAAAAAAAAGACAGTAAATACAGCTGTTCACAGAGGAAGCAGATTGGGCTCAATCTTTTTTTCCTGCCGCAATGTTTAGATTTCAGGATTCACTTTGACTAGTTGGTGTTCGGCGCTCACACATTTGAAGACCAAAAAGGACAACATGTAAATAGAGAGAGGGAGAGAGAGAGAGAAGGTCATGGATTCAACAAGCACACACATCCGAACGCACTCACACTTCCTCTTCCTGCTTGTCTGTGCATATGCCAAGACAGCTTTGCCCTCGCCGGCTCAGGGTGGCCATTAACATTCTGAGGGGCCTGCAGTGTCTATCCTGAGTAGCTGGGGATGTGCCAGCTTGGCCATTACTTTAAGCGCTCCCACAGTTTGATTTCTCTATCAGCTGCACCCGGCCTTGGGCAACACTAAAGAGATGCACATGCAAAAGGAGGACATAAAGGACAAAAGTTTACGTTGACCCAGCTGGACTTTTGAGCAACTGCAATGAGAACATCAATTACCTCCAGAACATGGGAGACAGCGTTCGTCTTCTAAAGCCAACTTTTAAAACCATGCTTCCACTTCAACGTTCTGCTAGAGTTGGCTTGCCCCTTCGACTCAATACCATCCATTTTCCGATCCGCTTATCTTCACAAAGGTGGCGGGGGGTGCTGGAGCCTAACCCAGCTGTCTTTGGGCAGTAGGCGGGGGACACCCTGAACCGGTTGCCAGCCAATCGCAGGCACACAGATGAACAACCATCCGCGCTCACACTCACACCGAGGGACAATTTTGAGTGTTCAATCAGCCTGCCATGCATGTTTTTGGAATGTGGGAGGAAACCAGAGTACCCGGAGAAAACCCACGTCGGCCCGGGGAGAACATGCAAGCTCCACACAGGGAGGCCGGAGCTGGAATTGATCCCGGTACATCTGCACTGTGAGGTGTACGCGCTAACCACTGGAACACCGGGCCGCTGTAATAAGAGTGACACTGTAAGCATTTTCTCGTGACCAAACTTAAACAGTTGGTGAATAAATCGTTATTCTTGACTTCTTTATATGCTTTCAGTCAAACCGACAAAAATAAGTTTGACACCCCTGCGCTAAGATAATATCTGTTATTTCCTCATCTTCTGCGTGTTAACCTTTAAAAGTCTGTTCGAAGCGACTGAGCATGCCTTAAATAGAGTGCGATGCACCTGCGAGGTCCGTGTTGTGATTTTGTCTTTGACGCGAGTGCTGAAGGCTCCCACTCCTACGTACCGAATGGCTCGTCAAGAAAAGCTGCGGAATATAATTACAGTTGGAAGGGGCAATTATCTTGACACGCTGCTTGATATGACAGGCTCCAGTATAACTGAAAGATCTTATTACATCTCTGTCAAGTAAATCGCATCACTGAAACAATATTACCTCGTCAATCTGTCAACAATATCCCTCCTATGAAGGGAAAAAGGACTGACGTGCTCCACCTATTGAATGTTGCATATATAGATCCAGTTGGTCACCATATGTGGAAAATCATCGGCTGAACAAGTTAATCGGCCTGCTGTCTCTTGACTTGGACGAATGACATTATTCAACGTGTCCACAGAGACCTTGGACACAGAATGTTCATCTGGCCAACTACTTGAGCTACGTATCTTGAAATATCTCACATTATTAAATGTTTGGAAAAGGCCACTTTAGAAAAATGGACGCGTCATCATTATGACAGGTTTCCATGTTTTTTTTAATAATAAAAATGATGAAAGAGGTGGATGAGTGTTTCACTAAATTCAGCAGACGGTACAGTTTTTCCTCAATTAGTATTATGCAGTATTGAGTAGTGATTTTGTTACAAAGGTAATATTCATCTATCCATGCGAAAGCAGCTTAAACGTAGATCGACCGGTAAATTGAGAGCTTTACCTGTCGACTCAGCTGCTTTTTTTTTTTTTTTTTTTTTCCCACCGGGACTACATTGGGGTCTGGGTGTTCTTCCC